CCCCCCCTATTTGTAGGCAGAGCTGCTCTCAGCCTCTTCATACACCATGTGCTCTCACTTCAGTGAAATTGTTGTCATTGTACATGATCTGCAGAAACCACTGGCTGCCATGTTGCCGCTCCCCTGCACACAGATCACACAGATTGGTGTGAAATAGTTGTAACCTTTCAGTGAGGCGATGAAAAGGAAATCTGTCAGGAGTAATTTCACATTCTGTAAAGAGGGCTGATCTGCTCTCTCCCCCTCGGAAATGCAGTTATGCAAAAATAAATGATACAAGAGCAAGTGACTGTGCTCATATTTGTAGAGGCTGTTGCATAATCCTGCAAAAAGAAGAGTCTCTGATGCCTCCTGTCGGCCATCAGTAAGAACAAAACGAGAGGCATGCAGCTTGGTTTGCAGTGCATTGATTTCAAAGCAATTAAAACCGAAAAATCGTTCAATATCAGCAAATATGTTAGGATGCTTTACAGGGGGAGATATTGCAGCAACAGATAATAAGGTCAAGAAAGAGCAGTCAAACTAAATGTGAAGAGAAATAAGGGAGCATCATTTTTTAAGACTCAAAATGGTACAGTATGATTAAACAAATTTAAAAAATGCATAATATATGAATACACATACCAACAATATAAGATGTGTTAAGTATGAAAACACAGTTCTCTAACTAACTTCCTGCTTTTAGGTAAACAAAGTGCTGCGAAACCACAACATCAAGCCTCACTGGATGTTCGCTCTGGACAACATCATCCGGAAAGCTGTGCAGACGGCCATCACCATCCTGGTGCCAGGTAACATCAGCAGAGCCCCTCTAAATAAATGATCAGGCGTCCCTCAGGGAAGCTCTGACTGTCTGATGATAGATATAGGAGCTGTGGTGGGAGATCTCCCTGGAAGCCGCTCTAATAACAGCTTTTTGTTGAGCGACAGATATTTGGCAGGATGTGGGATGTTCACTGATGACAAGTCAAATCATTCGCATGTGCACAAAACAGTCCAACGACTAATTAGTATCCTGTCCTAAGAAGCATCCTCTACATAGAAGCATCACTGTGCCTCACATTGAGAGAACGTTTATACATGATTGTGACATATGAAATCATATTTTTCAATTAAGATTGATTTATTAAAGGCCTGCACAAATACAAAAAGTTTTATTCTGAATAAAAGCTTTAATATATGTGAATTACTTTATTTCTATTTGAACACAATGATACCATTGTCATAGCTAACACATGCAGGTATTCAGTGTTCAATTATCAGATAAATCCACTCATCCTTTAGTCTGTAAAATATGAGAAATAGTAAGGCCTTACAAATTGCTTGTTTTAAAAAAAAATGCAACGGTCCACAGCTCCATTGAATAGATATTACAGGGATGTTAAACAGAGAAAAAGTAGCAAATCCTCAAACTTAAGAAATTGGAAATAGTACATTTTGTTTCATTATGACTTGATGGATGTGAATGTCCCTTCTGTGGGACAAATAAAGGTATTCTGATTATGATGGAAACACCTAACGATTAATACATAATCAAATTGAACAAAACTTAATCTTTAAACTTAGAATAGGGTTTTAAATGACATTCATACATACCTATCAGTCTTGATCTGGACTCAATGTAGCATCATAACTAATGATACTCTCCCTTTCCATAACAAAAACATAACTGTGTGTGTGTGTGTGTGTGTGTGTGTGTGTGTGTGTGTGTGTGTGTGTGTGTGTGTGTGTGTGTGTGTGTGTGTGTGTTCAGAGCTGAGGCCTCACTTCAGCCTGGCCTCAGAGAGCGACCCGGCGGAGCACGAGGACGTGGACGACGACATGGAGCCGGAGAGGACCTCCACGCACCACAGCCGGACGCCTACGGTCGCTCTGGACGAAGCGGTGGTGACCTCCGGGGTCAGCACGCTCAGCTCCACCGTCTCTCACGAGTCCCACAATGCACAGCGCTCTGTGAGCATGGAGCTGGGCCGCATGAAGCTGGAGACCAACAGGTAATCAATCAGCAGAGACATCACAGCAGCATGGGGTCCTACTCAGATTACGTTGTACAGCTTTTTCTTAGCCATCATTTCATTCAGGGGAGCCTATTTTTTGATTGAACAACTATTGTTTTTATGCTATGATGCTTTTAATACAAATAAATGATATGATTGCTTGATTCACGTTAACCTCATAATTAACCAGTGATGAAAGGTTCTCCACAAACGTACATGTGTAGACTGACCGGTCCCATTGTTTATGCTTTGTTGTTGTTTGTGCAATACACAACACAGCAGCTTTTAGGCATGATAAAACCATTTTAACGATTCTTTGTTTTCACTGCAAAGTGGTCGGGCCGTCATTTGACCAGGCAGTGACGTGCAGTGCTCTCATCTATACAACATTAAGACATGTTATAGATTTAGGTGATTAGACCCCATCGGGATTCAGTCATTTATGGAGAGGAGAAGCAATATCAGAATAGGAGAACGCCCCTAATGGTGTTGGTTATGGGAGAAAAGGTAGTGTTGATGAATCGAGTGTGATTAGGAGGCAGACTGCGTCGATTTGCCTGAAATAACAGCTGACAACAGAGAACAGGTTTACAGTTTTGACGGTAGCGCTACGATTGACTAGTGGGAGTTTTGTTGTGGCAAATCTATGGGAGTGAAACACCTACAATCAGCTGATTAGAGGGTCTGAAGTAGTCATAGAGAGGATTGTGAATGAGTAAGCGCACAGATAGTTTTCCTGATTGAACTTGCGCTGAGCTTCGTTCGTCATCTTACTGATTCAATTCAAAATGTATAATGAATCTTTCAGGCTGATGGAGCAGCTGCTGGAGAAGGAGAGGGAGTATCAGGCCATCCTGCAACAAGTCCTGGAGGAGAGAGAGCAGGAGATCAGACTGCTGAGGCTGCGGTCTGACCCCCCCACAGGTCTGGACTGTAATCTAGTTTACCTTCTCACACTGACTGTATTCAACACTAGCACCAATGCTTCTGCTACTACATGTCTGCCTTCACATCTCACAACCAGCTCTGCCTCCACTGTCCATTCGGTAATAATAATTACAGCAAAACTCATATTCACAGGGTGATTAAATGTGCAGCAGATATCCACGATTTACATTTTCACCCTCCAGCTCACTAAATAATTCATACAAGTTGTGACATGAACAATGAACAAAGCTTTCTCAACGCCTTCTGAAACTGCAAATGTGTGATGAAAACATCCATGACAAATGATTTGCTTCTAGACTTTCGGTTTCGATTCGTCATTGAAGAGATTTTCTGGATTTTCTCTAAATGGTCAGACTACTTTATTCCGAACCGAAACTGTTACTGGATTTTGAGCCCTATACTGAACCAAAAATTATAATAATATGATAGAAAAAGCCATCAATTTAACTGCTAAGATGTGCTGAAAGTTGTGTTTAATTGCCTGTATAAAAGTTGTGATCGAAATAAGTTTACACCTACATCTGCAACGTTAACTACAACAAAAACTAAAGGTGAAATCTAGTGACAATATTGCTCTAAATTACTTTGCTTTCATATATTGTTGCACGTCTGCTAACATGTACAAATATATTTCTGATATGCCAAAATAAGCACTGTCGATGTAATGGTAGAACCCACTTGCAAAACATTTTGTCACTGACCATAATTGCATTGAACAACTAGAAAATATGCATAGTTCAGTCAGACAGCTCACGTGTTTCTTATATGTTTATTAGAAGCAGCATATAGTTTGAGTTTGGCGTCTAGGCTCGGGCCTCATCACTCCACAGATTCACAAAGAACATTGAGTAACTATCCCCCGAGCCTACAGGTGGAAGCTGGGGTGGGGGTGGGGCAGGCAAGCAGCAGCATGTGAATGCATCAGCAATGTGAAAGCTTTATAGTATTAGCGAGGAGGCAGAGGCAAGTTAAGGAGATTGTGTTTGGTTGGTTGTAAGAGAGACGCGTCACGTGTTAATGTATCATTGGTGCTCGAGTTGACTGCCTGAACTAGCTCGCAGGCTTCGCCCCATTTTGGCAAACATTGAGTTACAAGTTGATTTCAAGTAAAGAATAAACAACAACCACATACCTGGTGCTGGTGTACTGAGTGACTATTGTTTTGATTTGAAGTTTAAGCATAAAAAACATGATTTATTTTGATATTTTAGTGCTGTATTAACGTTTTCTTTCCTATGCAAATGTTGTGTGAATGCGTCCATTGTGTGTAAAGCAGTCTGTCTGGTTTCTTTTCCTGCAGACGTCCCGACATCATCAGGTGACCCCGAGGAGGAGAGGAGTCTGCCAGCAGTGAGACATGAAGACTCAGAGGTGTCCAGCTGGCTGAGGCTCTACGGCGCCGACCAGGACTCCATCGACAGAGTGAGTCTCTACCTCTGTTTGGAAATGGGCTATTGCACGGGTGTCCAAACTTTTTTCACCAAGGGCCACATACAGACAAATATACGAAGGGTTGGGCCCCTCACTAGAGGTGAGCTATATTGCCTCATTAGTTAAAGGTGGGGTAGGTAAGTTTGAGAAACCGGCTCGAGATACACTTTTTGTTATATTCCATGGAATGCTCTTAACATCCCGATAGCAATGAATATCTGAAGTGCTTTGCCAATAAAAAAATGTCATCTGTGGAAGCCGTGGCGCTGTAAAAAGCACGACCAATCATCTGACCCGGCCCGGCTAAAATAACTGGATGGCCTACCTGCCTGTCAGCCTTCCATCTGTGCACAAACTTATCTCGTGCCCTCATTGGTCATGTGCGTGTTCGTGTGTGTTGGAGGAGGGGCTCTGTAAGGAAGTGGCAGATTTCTTCCGGCTGTGTATTTTCAAATTCTTGCGCACTCGAGCTGGTTTCTCCTAAAATTACCTACCCCACCTTTAAGTTATAAGCCGGCAATATCAATCAAATGTAGGTAAATGATGCTTAATACTTGAATATGCTTTAAGAAAACAAACAGCCTACATCACAGATCTCAAAAGGGCTTTCATTTATTTTGTTAGCAGCTCATTCCTTAAAGCAGAAGCCTCAGATTGCTTATCATAAGAGGAAATAGGAAGGGTGTATTTCAAGCGTGTTATGTAAATAAGTTATTGGGCTTTTTTCTTATCAACTTAGATTTGATGAAATCAGATGTTTTCAACTTTAACTGACTGAATTTGTTTGAAGAGTGGGCTTCTTAACACATGAACACTGTGTAATATCTGTTGTCATCTATATTTAAGAAGTACAACACAAGACAAGCACAAGTTTCATTTTTTAGCCATACTCCATTATACTTTTTGAATTTGCTGAGGGCCGTTTCATAATGACCCGCGGTCCACATTTGGCCCCCGGGCCGTAGTTTGGACACCCCTGGTCTATTGCTTCATCACACCATGACAACATCCGGCTATACTGCAACATATTGTGGATATTAGAGCTGTTGTTTGTTGTTTAATGATTTTCGTATTCCAACGACAATGAGAAATGTGTTTTTTATAATGCCCTTTTCCAAAATGTGTTGTTTGATGCTTTTGCAACTGTAATAAATAATGAAATAAAATACATTATAAAGCATTATACAGTTTTTGTGTACAGAGATCATGTTTTCTTGGATGTCATGTTACTGTTCAGGTTATTAAATGCATTTTTGTTTCTCCAGATACTGAACGAAGAGTACACGCTGAACGACATCCTCCACGAAGTAACAAGAGATGATCTGAAGAGTTTAAGTCTGAGGTAAGCCAACCCTTGTTTTTTCTTTACTGTCTTTTCACAGTTTCACTTCTCTATTCAGTATTAAGTCACTAAAAATACAAGTTGACACTCGCATCTAAAAAGGACTGCAGCTCTCCATCTACAGGAAACACAGAAGTGAAGCTGAGACAACTGTTTTCCATAATGGAGTTTGTATTGATGTAGTTTTGTAGTTTAATGGTTCGTATTAACACAGAGCAACTCAGCACTGTAGTGGCTCGTAATTGCAGCTTTCTCAGAAACCTTTTAGGTGACTTCAGTCTTTGGTTTCCTTTTATCTGGACTTTGTAAGTTGTGTGAAACTGTTCTTACAGGTTCATCTCATCTGTAAACATGGTTATTCGCTGCCTACTACAGTTTCCATCTCCTTTCTTACTTCCTCTTATTAGTAGCAATACATTAGCTCATAGTATATATTGTCCCCAAAAACAGTACAACATTTCAAAACTCATGATGGTAAACAACTACTGTATGTGTAGGATTTGTACATGTCTGTATTTGGCGCCACCTACTGGTAGTGTGAATAAACACCTGTTGTACACAGGCACTTGCAGGTCTTGAAAACTTCCTCAAAATATATATATATTTTAATTAAATGACTTTTTTAAACCTCTTAAATGTTTTTTTCCTGCAAGTGATAGTGGTGAATAGTGCTGCTTACCGGTACGCCGAACCGGTACTGGACTTGTAAAAAGTTTCGGTTCAAGTCCGGTTAAAACCGGAACGTCAGGAACCGGTACTTACGTATATTCTCCTTTGTGTTCTCAACCATCTAAAACCTTCCATAGATCGAGAAATTTGCGCTGAGAAAAGACGAAAAACATTGTTTTGGCTTCTGATATGGCGGCCATTACTGAGCTCACGAAGTCTCGCAAAATATCGCAACTGCTCGCGAGATCTGTGTGACGTCAAGGGAAGCTGGCTTAGACATAGTGGACACTGACAGCGTGGGATGCTGGTTGCCATATTTAGTAGTGTAGCTAAGCTAACTCCTTTGTATGTATGGTGATATAGTGTCTGCCGAAAGAGCAACACTTCACCCAGACAATGTCAATATGCTGTTGTTCTTGAACAAGAACACATAGACTTGTACTCTTGCATATTGAGTCTTGTATGTACATCACTATGTATGTAGTTGTGTTGTGTAGTTAGTAACACATGTAGAGTTCTAGAAAAGACATGGTGTAGACACAAGTTGGAAGGGGGCACAATAAACCTGACGAGTTTGAATTTGAGTTGATTATGAGTTTATTTTCAATTGATAATTAGCTCACAATAAGTTCACTTTAGTTACTCACACAACTTGACACAAGTCCGGACTTATAAGTCCGGACCTGAACCTGAACCTCTGGACTTGAGTCCGGACCTGAACCTGAATGTGGGTCCAGGTACACAGCACTAGTGGTGAATTATCTGAACAGAAGGATGTTCAACTTTTTTTGTAGAGACCTTTCACTTCTACATCAACTCAACAGTAGATTATTCTGGTCGAGTTTGCATTCATTTAATTAATGATATTATCATCATCAGAATTATATTGGAATTATTACCGTTTACTGCTGGGGAGTACTGAAACATCAATATTTTGGTTTAATTTCCGATCATCTATTGGTTTTCTTTCGTGCTTTGGTGAATAAATTACATCATATGTGGTATTAAAATGGTCTTTAAGACATTCAACATGAAGGTACCCTCTACATAAACCCTGTTCTACATGAATTGTGCATAAACTGACTTTGATGACAAAAGAAAAAACTATGTAAAAATGTGTATTTATTCAGCAAAAGATGACGAAGGGCTGAGTTATATGACATGCGGTGTAGTCTCTGTTGGTTACAAGTTAAAGCATATTGTACGTTGACATATTTTGAAACAGTGTTTTTCTGTGTGTCCTTGCAGAGGCGGGATCCTGTGTAAACTATGGAAGGCCATCACAGACTACAGGCAGCAGCCAACCTGAGGCCTTAAGTGTTGACGACCACCTCCACCCCAAAAACTCAGTATTCTCCTCTTTACCTCAGTATTTATAAGAGCAAGACTTTTAGGAGAAGAACCTGTGTTTGCCGTGTGCACAAAGCAGCTTTCCACTCGCACAAGGAACTCTTTAACTGGTCTCTGCTGAGTATTTTGATAGCTTTGGAAAACAAGGATTTGGGGAAAAAAGGTCACTTTGAAAGCAACAATTACTAAGAAGTGCCATAAATTGTGCTTTGCCTGATGGAAAACACAGCGTTTTGTTACAGGTGTGTAAAAAATGAGAAAATCTTAACTATAAAAACATTTTCTCCTGTCTTTACAAGATGTAACGTTTACAAAACTGGAGACTGACCGTTTTCTAACACAAGCCTGAGATACAAAATACTACATTCAAAATCATCTGGGCTAATGTTTTTATCATAGTCATATCATCACTACTTTTATTTAAATGTATTTTTAATTTAATTGTTTTGGTAATCTGAAGGATGTCAGTGCATGCCCTTATCTTATTTTTTAATTGTATCCATACTGAGACTTTTTATTTAAAAAATAGTTTTTTCACATTTTCTTTTTATAAAACAAATCTACATTTGTATTTTCCCGGAACATGTAAATATTGTGTTAAATAATTAAATGTTAACAACATATATGTACTTAAAAACCACATTGATAGTTTAATTGCCATGTAAATTGGACAGAGTCTATTATGAACACATCAAATAATTGTATAGTATTGTATTTTTTGTGTAACGAATAATAGGAGATATTATTCAGTTTGTAAGTAATATAACATCAAATGATCTGATCTGTTTAATTGTCGTACACTGACACACTTGTGTTTATCTTGCGTGTGTATGACCATTCAGTCAAATATCTGAAATTCAGGCAAAAAAATCAGATGATAGAGCCTTGCCTTGTTTTCTTTCTTTTTTTTAAACTTGATGTCAGAAAAGGGGAACATAATCATGAGCAGTGTGTCCGTGTTGTTTCATATCTAAAAATATTCAAGATTTTTGTGTCATACTGTAAAAAATAAAACTTTTCATCATTGAAACTGTGAAAGAAACGTGTAAGATGTGATTGGATTTGGTAGTGGATTTGTTTTAATTAAAAGTATAAGCAATGGTTCCTCTCTGCACATAGGGACAATGTGCTACAAAACATAATTATGAACATTGCTTAATGATTATATTGTGTTTCATAGTAATTTTTCCCACAGGGCATTTTGAATTAGATTTCCATTTTAAGCCATGAATCATCATAATGGTTTTGTTTGGGGGGTTTCATGTTAAAAAGACATGGCAGTGCACATCGCATACAATGCATGTGCACCATCATGACTCTTTTTGATCAGGATTTATCCTTTAACGGCCACATAAAATTTATTTCAAGGATCGCCTACTTCCATCTACGTAAAATTGCAAAAATCAGGCATATCTTGCCTCAAAACGATGCAGAGAAACTAGTCCATGCATTTGTTACTTCAAGGCTGGATTATTGTAACTCTTTATTATCAGGGTGTACCAAGAAGTCAGTTAAATCGCTTCAGCTGATTCAACATGCTGCAGCACGCATACTTGCCAACCTTGAGAACTCAGAAATCGGGAGCATTTCAAAACCACCGCGAAGAGGGGGGGGTGTGCTAGTGGATCGCCGGAGCTGTATTAGATTAACATTAACATGCTTATTGTAGTTGTAAGGGCACTGCCTTGCGGCCTGTAGCACCATCCTTTATGGAGCATAATGTGAAGGACAGGAGTGAGCAGAGGGTAGAGTTGTCAATTCTTGTTCTGTTTTCTGTGACTATTTTCCCCACCCTCTCAGACTTTCAGTTGCGCGCGCTACTAAAGAGACGCGCTACCATGGAAACCAAACAATGGTGTAGCTCAGAGCCCTAGACTAACTAACCTATGTCCTGTAAAATATATTATCTTTTCAATTTACACACGGCATCTATCTGTCCGTTCTGGGAGAGGGATCCCTCCTCTGTTGCTCTCCCTGAGATTTCTCCCATTTTCCCCTTTAAACTGTGGGGTTTCTTTGGAAGTTTTTCCTTGTACGATGTGAGGGTCTACATATCGTATTGTCATACTGATATTCTGCACAAACTGTGAAGTCCAGTGAGACAAATGTAACATTTGTGATATTGGGCTATATAAATAAACATTGATTGAT